CAGCATGAATACAATAATGTTAGTTTCGGTTGACGTTTCTGTAAATTGGGCAAATATTGGAGAATTTAGTAATGTTTGACATTGAAAGTAGCTTATCTTATTTCCCCCCTTAATTCTGTTATCTATTTACCTTTGGCATTTACTGGTCATAAAATAAGACATTTTGATTTATTTTTAGAGTTGTCCTAGATTGTCATTATTTTCTTAACCATTTTTTTTTTTCATGAACTGCAGGTAGGTGTGTAATGATTAATTTAACTGGTTTCTTAATCTCTGAATGGATGTCAGTAGGCCCAGAGTAGGCATATCATTGCATTGTTTCATACATGCCATTGTGACCGTTGAAATCTAAGCAACTAGGGACAGTGCTGTTGCTGAATGGTCACTATAATGTTTGTATAGGGATTGTCCTCTGAGGATTCCCCATCACAATGTTCCATTGTATTGGACAGAAGTCATACATGAGACACTCCTCTCTGTCTTCAGTCTGATTTGGAGTGAGCCAGGATGGCACAAGTGGAGAGATCAGCACTGGAGGTCTCCAGGGGTCTCCACTCCAGTCTCCCTGCCAGAGGAGCACCTTCTCTGCTACACACTCACTGGATTACTGGGGCTGTGGGAAGATGCAGCCATAGATAGGTCAGAACAAAGATCCCTCCTCGGACAGTGTCTTGGATGTGGATCATGTATGTACCTGCCTAGGACATGCTGGAGCAAATTCTGTCCCTCGATGGACCAAGGATATGCAGTAGAAAGAGGAAGCTCAATGGATGGAGTGACATGAGGCTGATTAGCTGGATATAATAATCTTAATCACCAGTGGAACCATATTGTGGTGTGCGTGCAGGGGTTACATTTGTAGGCGGTGTACCTGAAGTTAAAATGTGCAGATCCTACTGTTCACCATCTCCCATCCTAGGATGATCTTCACCAACCATACTTTGAAACTCTGTGTATTTGAAAAACTCCAAGGACAAATGTGCCACAACAAAATGGAGACCGAAAAAAAAGTGTATTTCTAACAAGAGGATGTAAAGCAAGGTCATGTGTCTTGGGGCTTTGTTAACGAACCTCTGTATTCAAGTAGACTCGTATAAAACAGGCCCATATGGAGATACAGGTGAGTTTCTATACAGTGGCTGGTCATAGCAACCTGTGATCTGAGGTTTGAGCTGTGAACTGTATTGTTTCACAAAACCGTGTGAGAGGGCATTATGTGGAGTGGGACTCTGTCTCTGCATGGTGACTGTGTGTTCAGACTCCTACTGTATTGTATGGACCCAGCAGGCTGGCATCAGTTACACTGTCATGCTCAGACACCATTCTATGCAGCAGCCCCCCCCCCCCCCCCCCCCCCCCGCCCCCCCCCCCCTCCTCTCCTCCTGCCTGCATCCAGCCAGTGCTAATCAGGTTTTTGAGCACACACCATAGACCCAGGCCTCAGCCCTGGGTGCCAGCCCCAGCACTTGTAAACAGTGCCCTGCCCTGTCCTACGTGGGGATAGCTGAGAGGATTACATGCCCCCCCTGGGGTGGCTGGGCTTAATGTGGTCTCATTAGTTGAACACAATGATGTCCCCACCTCTCAGAGCAGATAACACACCATGCGTTTAGCCAGTCCCCAAACAGAGCTTAAAACCCCATCCTCAGACCATCAAACCCAGGCTGCAGACAGTGCTGCAGTAGCAGGGGCCAGACACACAATGGGTGTATTAGGCTACATCATTTTTTGGGTAATTTCATCATGATTATTTCTTTATTTAAGGTTGATTTGCGTTTAAAAAATGTATACACTTGAAAATATATTTTAATATTTTCTTCTGTTTTCTTTTCATTGGTTTAAGTCCAATGCTTGGAATATTAAATACAGTAAGACGAACATTATCTAAGTACTGATATTACAATGTTGTAATACATTCAGTTGATATGAAGAAGTCAAATATACACCCAATAAACAGCATGTTAGCAATAACAGAACACTGTTGGTTTAAAAAATACAAATATAAACGAGACATCTAGAGATCCAACAGGAACCAATGATGACTGTCTATTGTGTCAGGCATCTGTGACATGATGAGGAAAAAGCACTTCAATGTTCTTATCCTTTCATCGGATTAAAACTTTGTTCCTGCCTATGATGATTTATTGGTGTAAATCCCTTGTGGGTTATACATAAATGTCTTTCATTGCAAAATGCATTGCTCAGTAGCTCTGAAATATGCTATTGAAGGGAAGAACATTTACAGTCATGCCTAAAAACAATTATATTCTTTGCAAATGAGCAATTGTATTCTGGATCTGGCCCTCTGATAAGACCCTTATCTGTTGAATTGAGTGGTTCTTTTATTATCCGGGCTGTTGAGCTTGGGCATTTGATGAAGTAGTATTGTATTGCCACAGCAGGCTATTGCACTATACATCCAATGCAGACAGTCACTGAGCCTTTCTGCCATTCTACAGCGCTGTCATGGACACTGCATCCCATCATGGTGCTGTGCACTATACCAGATTCTCATATTTTAACCAATGGTAAAGGCTTGTCCCCTAGTGATATACAGTATAGCCCACTGTACTGTCCCACTGCTCCTCCCTGTCCTGTCCCTGGTATTGTCTGTGTGTCTGTCTTCTCTGTGTGATCCCCCTGGCAGACAGACAGAGCTCCATCTGATTGTAATTGCCTCTAATTTTTAACTGGTCTGGAATCAGTATCAGTGTATAGTCCTCACTAGACCTGTGAGACACCATGATATCTGCGTCTGTCCTAAACGACCTACTCAGAGATAGCCGATAGGTAATCACAATGATCTGATCTGTTCTACTTGGACAACAACAATGTTTGAATGTTTAATTAGATAGTGTGAACTGGGCAGACTATCACACTCAGACATTAGATTATTTGGGCACAAGCCATGGTAAATGCTTTGTAAACTCCCAGCAAATATTTTAAATCTTAAATGTTGGAGAATTGCTTAGGGAACTCGATTGGTAGGCCATTCAATTGACGTTTCTATAAAATGTTGTTTAGTCTGTCTAATGTCTAATTTAGTTCAGTCTAATAACACGTTAGTCTACTATTATACAAATGTGATGCTTTCTGTGTAGATACTTAAAATTCTACATTTACTCCAGCCTAGGGAATTCAGAGAACCCTCCCGAAGGTTTAAACCAGATCCAGATTCAAAAGGATTTCTGTTGCTTTGAAGATAAGGAGTGTAGCTCTGCAATAAACAGTAATTGTTTAGTTGCTTTCCTGTGGTGTGATTTATTTAAAGTACTATGCTGTAAGGTTTCAGGCTTGTTTCTACTAGGTGTATATGGAGGTTTATTATTGCCAACAAGATGCCAATCCTGAGACTCCCACCTCCACCACCCGCACCCCGTCCCCCCCATTCACACATGACCCCACCTAGAAAAACACTCATGATGGCCTTCGAATGTGACCTTTGCACAGTATACAGAAATATCATAATAATACATTTAACTACATAAGTAGTAACCATGGGATTAGGACATTTTTCATTTAACAAATGAACATTTATGCACTGTAGAATTCCCCTAACATTGCAATTGTGAAAGTCTAAACCAAACATGTTCACATCTATGCCACCTTTGGCAATTCCTATTACAATACACCCAAGCTATTTACAGTACACACCCTAGATAATACAGATAAAATAATACAAATAAATTCAAACCAACATTGTTTAGTTCATATGAACCCAAGCAAAGTTGATTTCTATTGAAAATCACTGCATCATCAGTATGAGTATAGAAAGAGCATGGCAGTGGGAACTACTGAGCTGCTGGTCTCCTGCACACATGTGCACACAAACATATGCTTCCCTAGATAAAGACTTTCATGTACCAGAAATACAATGTCAGCGTAGAATACCAAGTTATTTATGGAGAGCACACGTTTAAAAAAAAAAAAATAGGAGCGGGATTGGATATACAGTATGAATATAAGGGACTTTTCTGATTTGATTTCTCCGGGACGCCAAAGGGGCAGTAGTGTCAATTTTTTATTCAATAGCTTACATCTGCTGGAAAGAATAATTATAGATTATAAATAAATATGCTTTGTTTAACTAAATGTATCTGCTAAAAATAAATTCATTTGGAATGATTAAGAAATTGATGATGATTAACTATTTGGATGTTGTTTTGCATGTGCACATACTACCAATTGCATCAAATAATCCCTTTTGTCAGATGCATGTTTTATGAACTGGAGGTGCACTCTAATAGTGGAATTCCAGGAATGTGATGTGGAATACCTCATCCTAGTATTGTCGGAAAGGGTAATCATTTAGATAACAATCAGGAAGTGTTTTTGGAGCATTACATCAATACATTATCATCATGGCATTTTCTAAATACCCTTTACATTTCAGTCAGCTTTAGATCATAACAGCAGTAGAACTACAAGTGTGTGTGCCTCAGATTGTGTTCCAAACAGGGGAGGGGGGGGGGGGGGGTTTAAAATCGTTTGAATGTCCAGACCAGGATACAGCTGCCTATGACTAATTTCAAACTCCCCCTTCTCCAGCCAAGGCAGCCCATTTTACATTTAACACAGGCATCTGTTTCCTGTTTTCATTCTTTGAGTGATCTTATTTTTCTTATTTCCCCCTCACCTGTTGGGGTCTATGTTCCTTCCATCATGTTGGACATTGGTGTTTCTCAGCTAGGGGACCTAAAGCACTGCCAGCGGACGTGATCATTACAGCACTTTCATCGGAGTCTGCCGTGGCGTCACTAATCAAAGTCAATACATTAGTCAAAAGTGTCCGCTATCCCAAGGCTATCCCTGATCAGTGCACGACCATACCATGTATGCAACCTAATCGAAATGAACTCCTCCATCCATTATAAGAATTGATCATAAAGCATGGTGCATTACTTACAGACCTGCACCATAGAAATACATTGTAGGATTTTGGGTGAAACACCCCTAAGATCAATGACAGAACAATGACATTAATTGATTAACATTTAATACAGCATACACAGTAGATCAGTTGTGTTGAAAAAGCTGAATCTATTGTCAAGTTGTGCTTAGAGACATTTCTTTTAAATCACCCATCATTTATGTACATAAACAGAGCATTTTAATAATTTATGAATTGTAATATTGGAGCAGTTTATCATCAGTCGGTTTCAGTATCTTCTTCTCGGCCATGTTGACTACCCAGCCTGGCGAGAGGCCAAAGAAGATCTGTCTGGGGTCTTTTATCATAGAGAGCATGTGGAACAATTCGTCTTTGGAAATGTCCGGTAAAACATAGCCATACTTCTTGGCCAAGGCTATCCGTTCTTTTTGAATCTTCTCTGGGTCTGCCAGGTAACCCCGGTTGGCAGCATCTGTGTAATACGGGACCATGTCCTCCCCAGGCAACATTCTCTTTGGAATGGGCTGTCCACTTATGAAGAATGGGACAGGCTTACAGAGGACCGCTAACAGACAGAGTGAAGCACAGGGTTACAAACACTCCAAAATGTATAAAATTTAAGAGGTGTCATAGCAAGATCATTAAGTTTTGGCCTAATGTGTCACTACTACTCACCAAGACTTCTGGGGTCATAGAAACCTGTAGTGACCATCCCTCCGTTTCTCTCAACGGCAGCAATGGCCTCCTCAGATGCCATCTGAACTTCAATGTTGACTTTCGCTGCGAAGATACCAGCACCCTGATAACACACACAATTGGATGCAACATTAGAGAAAATAGACTTTCAATACAGAACAAACCAGCAGGATGAGGAAAACAGTCCTTGGGTATCCCGAGTGGCGCAGTGGTCTAAGGCACTGCAGATGCAGTGCTAGCTGTGCCACTAGAGATCCTGGTTCGAATCCAGGCTCTGTCGTAGCCGGCTGCGACCGGGAGACCCATGGGGCGGCGCACAATTGGCCCAGCGTTGTCCAGGGTAGGGGAGGGAATGGCTGGCAGGGATGTAGCTCAGTTGGTAGAACATGGAGTTTGCAACGCCAGGGTTGTGGGTTCGATTCCCATGGGGGGCCAGTATGAAAAATATAAAAATAATGTATGCACTCACTAACTGTAAGTCGCTCTGGATAAGAGCGTCTGCTAAATGACTTAAATGTAAATGTATAATGACAGCTACAATCTTAATTAGCTAAATACTGCCACCTACTGGCAAGATATAGGTGCACTAAATAACTACAAATTATCCTTGCTTTACATACACATAAGCACTCAACTGCCTTTGTGGGATCGTGCTTCTGTAACAATGAATTTCCCCCAAATCAAGCGGAGACATCGTAGCCAAGAAAACCATCTTACCTCGCCAACAAGCTGAACACCATAGTCCCGCTTCTGGGGCTGGATGGTCACTCCCCTGCCGTTGACCAGCTGCGTCAGGTCAATGGGCTGAGTGGGGTCGACCCGGCCCAGGTCAATCAGATACTGCAGCCTGTTCAGGGTCAGGGGCTGGTACTGAGCCCGCTGACTGGGAAGATGAGCACAAATTCGTGAGCATAATCTCCTGTCTCTAAACAAACGGTTATGAGTAATTTATAGAACATGTGGTTTTAGCAGGAATGCAATAACAGGTCCAGTATGATCAAATTATTATACTAGCTATGTATGTACAGAGATGCAGTATGAAAAGTTACAAGGCCTTTTTTGCTTCTTGATGATAGAACATGGCGTGTTCAACTATGGACTTGGGGCAACAATGTACTTACCTGTGTCCCTCATTATAGCCGTATTTGGGGATGGCTAGATAGAAGGGAGTCTGACCCCCCTCGAACCCCAGGCGAGGTCGGTTGCCTCGCTGCCTCTCCCCTTTGTGACCCCGGCCACTTCTGTTTCCTCCATGTTGGCCCCTGCCTCGCTTCTTCTCCTGCAAAATATAGAAGAGAGAAAAAACAGCAGCGTTAGAATAGCAGTACATAATCTTCACAATTAACGTTTAATAATATATTCAATATGCAACACTTTACATAGTAATCAATAGCTAATTGTTTGTCATTGACACAATGAATTCATGCATTGAATGTATGTTTGAGACGGCTAGACGAGACAAAAACTGTGACTAGAAATTATAACGTTAGCTAGCTATGCCATTTTTAGAGTGTTCGACATAGCAGACATTGATGATCACTGACCAATTGTGGTAAAATTAGATGTTGTGCTTACATTCTAGGAGTAAACAAGACATTTAGCTATAACTAGCTACTATCTGTACAAGCAAGCCATCTTTGGCTGGCTAAATTACAGTAGCTAGCTAGCTGGTGGCTATTACTACTAGCCATTCTAGTTAGCTTGCTAGCTATTCAGCAACTGATGGGCTGCTAAACGCATACTTACAGCCTTCTTGGTCCCCGGTTCAGGTCGCAAGTTTGCTAATGAAATACGAGGCAAATTCTGCAAAATATCTAATGCCTTCCCACCAGGTTTTCTCGTAAAAGACATCGTCCTCACCACATGCCAGCGTTACCCAAGGACAAAATCGGCTACCATGGATATGGCTCACGTGACACACCATCTGGCATTTGCCGGAAGCGGAAGTGCCATAGTTTCACAGATTTTTAGACCATCTGGATTTTCTACGAATTGCACAATTGAATGGATTAGTACATTGTCCTATCCATTGAGTTGACTAGTTAATGAATTTATACTGCGCTCTCTCTCCGCCAAACTGATGCCCGCGAGTACGTAAACGTACTGTTCCCTCAACTAGCGCTTATAATAGCAAGGGCGATACAAATTTAACGTTTTCGTTCCATCCAAGGATACATTGTCAATTCTCTTGGTGAATACCAGCTGCCAGAACGTTGTATGTGCGGTAATAATATGTCAGTGCCCTTGCCTGCTATTGTACCTGCCGCTCGGAAAGCCACTGCAGCGGTGAGTTAGTTTGATTTTTGACAGCGAGGTTTGAATGCATCATGCATAGTTTGTTGTTGCGGACAATAACTTGCCCTCACATTAAAACTATAGTCTCAATTACGTCTGTATTCCCAGTAAAGGACCAGTAGTGGGAAGCTAGAATCAGGTGTTTTAGTGTAGGGCTGTAACAAAAGCCTGCACAGTAGCTCTCCAGGTGGAGGGTTGGCCACCCCTGACCTAGATCTACCAACCATAGACATTGAAGTGTTGTCAATAAAGCTTACCACATTGTACATGTATGTATCTCTTTTGCAATGCAGGTAATATTTCTTCATGGCCTGGGTGACACTGGGTATGTGCAGCTCATTCATTTAATCCCTCATGTTACTATTTCCACTCACCATTGACTTAAGGGTTTTCTGTCATATTATTCCCATTCATTGTAGTTTATAGCTCATAAAATGTAATTTGCTTTTGTTCATAGCCATGGCTGGGCAGAGGCCTTTGCTGGGATCCGGACACCACATGTGAAATACATCTGTCCTCACGCGTGAGTACATCTGTGGACAAGTACAGCTTCTGTATTTGGATAATGTTGATGATAGTGATTATTGATGACATTGGGTTTAGTATACACATTTATTACTGACATTGAAACCTTTTTGTTATTTTGATTTTTCAGTCCGATCAAGCCTGTTACATTAAACATGGGCATGTCCATGCCCTCCTGGTAAGAAGTTAAGTTTCTTTCATTTTATAAAAAGAAGGCAATATCGAAGAACAGTACTATTTGGGTTAATCACTCCCCTCTATGTTTTAGGTTTGACATCATCGGATTGCAAACAGATGCAGAGGAAGACGAAGCTGGTATTAAACAGGCTTCTGAGAATAGTAAGTCTATGGTTTGTATGTAGCAGTACTAGGACATACAGTATGGTGAAATTTAAAACTATATAAACTTGAGCTTGACTTGATTCTATTTGAGCTTGATTTGATTGACTGCTTCCTCTCCCCTCAGTTAAAGCACTGATCGATCAAGAAGTGAAGAATGGAATACCATCACACAGAATAGTTCTTGGTGGATTTTCTCAGGTAGACTAGCGTATGACAACAAAAAACTGTAAAACAACACTGAAATGTACATCAAATCAAATCAAATTGTATTGGCCACATGCGCCGAATACAATAGGTGCAGACATTACAGTGAAATGCTTACTTACAGCCCTTAACCAACAGTGCATTTATTTTTTATAAAAAAGTAAAATAAAACAACAACAAAAAAGTGTTGAGAAAAAAAGAGCAGAAGTAAAATAAAATAACAGTAGGGAGGCTATATATACAGGGGGGTACCGGTGCAGAGTCAATGTGCGGGGGCACCGGCTAGTTGAGGTAGTTGAAGTAATATGTACATGTGGGTAGAGTTAAAGTGACTATGCATAAATAATTAACAGAGTAGCAGCAGCGTAAAAAGATGGGGTGGGGGGTGGGGTGGGGGGGCAGTGCAAATAGTCCGGGTAGCCATGATTAGCTGTTCAGGAGTCTTATGGCTTCGGGGTAGAAGCTGTTGAGAAGTCTTTTGGACCTAGACTTGGCACTCCGGTACCGCTTGCCGTGCGGTAGCAGAGAGAACAGTCTATGACTAGGGTGGCTGGAGTCTTTGACAATTTTGAGGGCCTTCCTCTGACACCGCCTGGTATAGAGGTCCTGGATGACATAATTCAGTGGTAAGACAGCGATAAGTATTCATGTTTTTGTGTGCTTTGGTGAAAACAGGGTGGAGCGTTGTCTCTGTACACAGCTCTCACGACCCAACAGAAGCTGGGGGGAGTGGTTGCTCTCAGCTGCTGGCTCCCTCTACGGAACTCCTTCCCCCAGGTAACACTGTATCCTGCATTAGAAGTGTTCTGTGGTGCACTTAGGTTTTACATATGATCCATTCAATTGTTTTGGAATGCAAACAGTCTATTAGCTTGTTACTTTACCAAATCACACAAATCAAGAAGTCCCAGACAGACCAAATAATTTAAGAGACATTGCAAATTATAGCTGATTTGAAATATAACCCTAATGTCGTCTTTTTTCAGGCATCGGCAAACTCTGCCAACAAGGAGATGCATGTCCTGCAGTGCCATGGTGAGGCAGACCCTCTGGTGCCCGTAATGTTTGGATGTCTCACTGTAGAGAAGCTAAAGACCCTCTGCAATCCATCCAACATCACCTTCAAGACGTATCCCAGAATGCCTCACAGTGCCTGCCCTGAGGTTAGTATGGCATGCACAGCGGTTGTGAGAAGAGACTAGTATGAAGATTGGCGCTTTTTGAAGACTTTGGACATGCACTATTGAATTTATATGAAATTACTTTATATTTTGTGCAGTAATACGTGTCTTTCTTGCGTCCTACAGGAAATTATGGATATCAAGCAGTTTATTGAAAAGCAGCTTCCTCCAATCTAACGGTTAGACCCACACACCCACTGCCATCAGAGCTCATTGAAGGTGACACCTGTGACGCTCCATAGACTGTCTGAACCACAGACCTCACTCAATAGAACCTGTTAACTCTGGCTGTCAGAGACAGAGTCAGAGACAGGCCCTAGGGCTAGAGACAAGCTGGGGTGAGGGACATCATAACTAAAACTATTGTATTTTCTGCAAGATGGAATCCTCGGTATTTGAATCGTTAATGTTGCCAGTAGTGTTGTCGGTGTAGCTGTTTGCTATTGAGATGCCATCTCTTCCAGGGAATACATGTGTTGGGAGTGTCTTAGATTGTATGGTTTGGCAATATGAATCTTAATATGTTGATTTGTAATAAATAACTTAATGAATGTATAAAACCCTGATATAATGCAATAGTAAAAGAAGACTATGGTATAAAAGTATTGTGCTTTAATAGATTTGTAAGAATTGAAAGCAATGTTCTGTCTATTCAATACACAAATACCATATATGAATGGTCACATTCTATTTATTTCATACATATATTATATTACTGTTTACGTTTTGAGTGTGAAAAAAATAAGACTGAATCAGCATCACAGTATTCAAATCCACAGGCAAGATCTATTTCCAGGTATCATCTCACACTGTACGTAAAAAGTTACTATTATTGTGATCAACTGTTGCACCATTTCTGTGATATTTTATTCAAACTATCTTGAAGGTGTGGTGGTAAATGCTCTAATGCCAAGGCACTTCCCCATGTCTTCTTAACAATAAGTGAAACCTACTTTTACTAAAAAAGAACTGAAAATGCTTTAAGGCTGACAATACACCTACACACAAATGCAGTGCTCACTGATACAACATGCTTTCCCCTCATAAAACTATAGAAAAGTGCAATGTCAAGTGCTAGGGAATATATAAAAATATAAATATATATATATGCAATCTGAAACTGAATCTAGCATATGTTCTTGCTCGCTCAGAGTATTTTGGAAAGTCAATATTTAAGGTAATATAAACAGTAGTTACACCTTAATAAATACTGTTTTGTAAATACAGCCTATTGACCTGTTCATCAATCAACATTTGAACTGTAACAGAAAGCTGAACCTAAACCCCCCTTGGATAAGTGTCCTCTAAAAGCAAAGTGTAGAGTGATTGATAGAGAGTGAGAGTCTATGGCTCTGTGGCAGGTGGTGGTTCGGCCAGGTCCTGCAGTAGATCTGCATACGCTGTAGAGTTCATGTAGCGTGGGTATGAGTCTCTCTGCATCAGCGTGTAGATCTGCTGCTGGGCGTCTTCGAACGTGTGCGACGTTGGCTCCAGCATGTTCTTGTTAATCACGTCTCGAACACGCGAGTCCAAACTCACCTGGACAAGGAAGGAAATGACCATTTAAAGAGAAAATAATACTCTATAGAGAAAACATTATAGGCTTATAGCTTGAACTTATAGCACAATTAGAGTAAACCACCTCAGTCTTATAAATGGCAAGGGCGGTGTAAGCTCACCTCTTTAGGGGAGAGGATGGAGATGAAGTCCTCGTAGATCTGTCGTACTTTCTCCTCCACCACAGTTTTGTTGGTCTCCTTCTTGAGCTCCTCACAGGCCAACCAGAACATCATGTTCTCTTCACTGAACTCTGTCCTCAGGAACTGGCGGAAGCAGCCCCGCCCTGCAGGGCTCTTCATCAGCCTCTCAAATGACATGGTCCATGTCATCGCATCCTCCAGAATAGGCTTGGGGCTACAAAAGAGGGACCATGCTCTTTATTTCATATAATAGATATCGTTGAGACTGTTCAATGTCATTGTTTCAGCTCTAGATCCATAGAATTACATATGGAACTCAGAACATATAATTACTCAGAACATAAAATTACATATGTAATTTAATAGGATCTCTTTCTCTAGAGACCCCATTTAAAGTCGACATTAAACAGTCTCTGTCATGACTTCCGCCGAGGCTGCCTCCCCTCCTTGTTCGGGCAGGCTTCGGTGTTCGTCGTCACCGGCTTACTAGCCACTGCCGCTCCATATATCATCATTCCATGTGTCTTGGCTTGTCAATTACACACACCTGGTTCTTATCCCCTCATTAGTCTGTGTATAAGTGTTCCCTCTGCCCCCTTGTCCTTGTGGGTGATTGTTTATTGTGAGAGTAGTGTAGCTCGGTGGAGCTACCCGTACCTTGTATTGCCGGGGTAGATATTTCCCCTGTGCCTGTATATTGTTGGAGCTACCCGTACCTTGTATTGCCAGGGTAGATGGTTTCCCCATGGCCTGTTTTCTGTTGTCGCTATCCAGCGCAATTGTGTACGACGGAATAAACTCTGTATTCGGTGATATACCCTCCTGCGCCTGACTCCTTCTATCACACTCATCACAGTCTCAACTATATTCTCTCTTCTTGTTTTTCTTGTAGTATGTGGCTAGCCCTATAGGAGATATACTTGTGTAGAGCTGATTATCATTATTATACAGTAGTTATTACAATATTCTAATCAATGATATGCATAATCTTACAACCATAGTCATCTGATTGACTGAAATCTTGAACTAGTGAAGTGTTATAGTTATATTATTTTGATGTTGATTGCTAGTGGTGACCAGAGTATTCCAGATGTTACCTGTCATCACAGTTTGCGATTTCCTCTGCTCTCCTCTCATAGGTGGTTTTTTTTATCCTCTCATCCTCCGCCCTAACAGTCAGACTGAAAAACAATGAAAAACAATATAAATAGAAAATGTATCAATGTACAATGTATGTGTCTCAGCTATTGTCAATTGGTGTGGTGGGTAGCAGATAGAGAGGCATGTTATTTGTTCCAAACTATGAAAAAAAAAGTGGTGGGAGGTGCACATCCTGCTTCGTGAGCTCTGCAAGGGGGCCTTGCGTAAACACTACGGTCATCCAGTCCTTGGAGATGTGTTGAAACACCTGGTGTAGCAGTCATCTGTAGCCTAATTAAAGCCATGTGAGAATCCACCACAACTGTGCTCCCCAGCCACACACTGTAGCGCTGCAACAATTAGCATTACTGAACTGAGGTTGATGTGGAGACAGACTATTCCCACTCAATGGGGACTGAATTAGCATGCTCTTATTCTGGACACAACAGGAAGAGGCATAACTTGCTTACGTAGACGTCAATAACTCCATAACATAAATGTCCCTGTGGGTTTTTTCCCACTGAGACTGTGTGTGTAACCGCAGATGCTCAGTTTTCATGCTCTGCTGTTTGTGTCCTGTGCAGAGTATATGGAGCATAGGAGTGTGGAGTGTTGGTAGGAGCATGGTATGGAATCTCATTACGGTAGGCCCTGTTGAGTCCCAAATGGCACCCTATTCCCTATGTAGTACACTACTTTTGTCAAGAGCCCTATGCGCCCTGGTCAAAAGAAGTGCACTATATATGCAATAGGGTGCTGTTAGGTACACAACCCCTTACTATGGACAGTATAGTCACAGATAGAACAATGAGACAGATATTTAACTGGATGTATTAATATGAAGCATCCGCTTGGCGTTTCCGCTCACTACCAAATATGGCAGTGGGAGAAGATGAAAGGAGATGGACTTTGGCCTACATTCTGCAAATTTTCTCATCTATGAAGCATTTGATCTCAATACAGTTTTCCGTTCCCAAAACTAGAATCTGTTATGAACAGAGTGGATTACGTTTAGTAGATTTTAGCCTTTGCCAAAGTTTTAAAAAATTGCGTTGTTTAGGACTGCAAAGGCGAATTGAGTTATTGCACACGCGCATTTCACAAAGTAGGCGTTCCCTAACGGAAATATGCAGATGTTTCTTAGAACGGGCCAATAGGAAACCTCGCTAGCTCGTGCTTGGCTCGGCCCACCTCCTTGCTTGTTCTGCCCACTATGACTCATCTGTTCCCATTGGAAACGACAGGCTGTGGTCTATCTTGGTTTCTTTTTCAAATCTTTGGTATGGTGGTACCTACCAGGAGCAGCTGCAGCAACAACACCAGCAGAAGCAACAGGCGTTGGTGGGCGAGTTCCCCATCCCGTGCTGCGTTTGGAGAACACTGGCAGCAGCTTCCTGGTGCACCTGCATCTGTCTCTTGCGCATCTCCACCCGCTCTGACCCCATGGGCTGCAGACCAAGACACAACATCATGCTGAAGTTGTAGGATAGACACACCCACAATACAGGAGAACACACACCCTGACAAAACAATACAGCACACTGCATTCGTTTAGGGCTTAGGCTATACCACATGAACAATCAATTCGGTCCAGAACATGACGACATAGAAGGCCGGTATCCCTAATGCTTGTCTCCATATCTTCTTGTGGATGACAGAGGGAGAAGATTGATGAGGGGGGAAAATACGAAATTTTAAAGACTGGTACAACATCATGAAACCATGGTACTGTACAATCATCTCAGATGAAAAATAGTACTAAGGGAATCACCATGGCATGTCGTCACATCAGCTCGAGTGCGCATGTCTTGCGGAATGCTCTGACCACTTCAACAGGACAGAATGATCCCAGCGCGAACTTTACACTGTCAAAGCTATAACTTATTATAATGTAGTACCATTTGGCTATGCAAAATACCGTCACTGACATTAATGCATAGACATATATAAGCTGTTAAACGCCTATTACCAAGCATTATAGCATAACATTTGCAGGATCAAACCATTGTACCGCGATCTGTGATGAGAAATGCACGGGATGAGAAAGACAGAGGAGTGGTGGTAGTTATACAGACAAGGCGTTGCTGCCTCCATCCTAGCATCCTCAGATGCAACACAGATGGATCCTTGGGGGTTAGACTGCATTTTTAAAGCATGTATTAGGTTATAATAAAGACTAAGAATAAATTTAACGAAATACTGTATGCTAACATAGGCTATAGGCCTAATAAAATACTTAACGCATAAGTATTTTTCTTAAAAAATGGACAACATGGCATCTGATTATCTGATGCAAGTTAAGACTACAGCAATAAATAAATGACCATTCAACTGGGTAGCTACATCCAAAAGATATAACGAGATTGTCAAGAAAAACCATGCTGGCAATAATTCTCTAGTCCCCAATCATATGTAAAAACAATTGTAATTGTAGATTATGCAGACTGAATTCTCATTTGCCATCTGGATTGTTGGTGTTGAATCTAATTCACAGTTTAGCATTCAATTATATTTCAAAGAGGAAATTCCAATGTAACTGTACTCACTGTCACCATAAATGCCAGAATACAGGTGATTCTTGCCTCGATCACATCCGTCTGCGCTGGTCTGCAATGGACAAATAGCTTTGCTCCATGCGCATGCGTTTTGTTCGAGTGCAAAAATATGTTCTGTGGCTGAAGCGCTGAAGAAGGGCGACCCAGCTTTTGCTAGAGGCTTCGAGCAATGTTTGATAATGCTCTGATATTATCATCTGTAGCAGAGCCTACTTCACAGCAACTGAATGAAACCGATACATTATCCACCGACCATGAGTGATGGAGATTTTATTCTAAGTTCATCATCATGATACAGGGTCCAGACTTCAAACCAATCATAATAAGCCTATGCTATGGTTTGGTTAATTGATATGGTGTTAGAATTTGTGACCCCATGTCTTCCCATGATACAAGGCCAAATATTTCAGCCAACTCACAGCTGGAAAACCACCTTAACTCATTGGAGCGCATGGATATGGTCTCTGTTTGCAGTAGGTGCCTACAGCCACCAGACAGCAGTAGCGATCTAGCTATGTTAAAAGAAAGACGCTCCAGTTTTGGTAGGACTTGATGGATGCTGTATTGAATATGTTTTCGAAGCAGCGCCAAGTTAACAGATATCTTTGCTGCTAATATGGATGTGAAAACACATACAGTGCCTTCAGAAAGTATCCATACCCCTTGACTTATTCCACATTTTGTTGTGCTACAGCCTGAATTCAAAATGGATTAAGTAGATGTTGTTTTCTCACCCATCTACTGTCATGGTCAAAAGTTTTGAGAATGACACAAGTATTGGTCTTCACAAAGTTCGCTGCTTCAGTGTTATGAGATATTTTTGTCAGCTGTTACTATGGTATACTGAAGTATAATTACAACCATTCCATAAGTGTCAAAGGCTTTTATTGACAATTACATTTACTTTATGCAAAGAGTCAATATTTGCAGTGTTGACCCGTATTTTTCAAGACCTCTGCAATCCGCCCTGGCATGCTGTCAATTAACTTCTGGGCCACATCCTGACTGATGGCAGCCCATTCTTGCATAATCAATGCTTGGAGTTTGTCAGAATTTGTGGGTTTTTGTTTGTCCACCCGCCTCTTGAGGATCGACCACAAGTTCTCAATGGGATTAAGGTCTGGGGAATTTCCTGGCCATGGACCCAAAATGTCGATGTTTTGTTCCACGAGCCACTTAGTTATCACTTTTGCCTTATGGCAAGGTGCTCCATCATGCTGGAAAAGGCATTGGTCATCACCAAACTGTTCTTGGATGGTTGGGAGAAGCTGCTCTCTGAGGATGTGTTGGTACCATTCTTTATTCATGTGAGTGAGCCCACTCCCTTGGCTGAGAAGCAACCCCACACATGAATGGTCTCAGGATGCTTTACTGTTGGCATGACACAGGACTGATGGTAGCGCTCACCTTGTCTTCTCCGGACAAGGTGTTTTCCAGATGCCCCAAACAATCGGAAAGGGGATTCATCAGAGAAAATGGCTTTACCCCAGTCCTCAGCAGTCCAATCCCTTTACCTTTTGCAGAATATCAGTCTGTCCCTGATGTTTTTCCTGGAGAGAAGTGGCTTCTTTGCTGCCCTTCTTGACACCAGGCCATCCTCCAAAAGTCTTCGCCTCACTGTGCATGCAGATGCACTCACACCTGCCTTATGCCATTCCTGAGCAAGCTCTGCACTGTTGGTGCCCCGATCCCGCAGCTGAATCAACTTTAAGAGACAGTCCTGGCGCTTGCTGGACTTTCTTGGACGCCCTGACGCCTTCTTCACAACAATTGAACCTGTCTCATTGAAGTTCTTGATGATCTGATAAATGGTTGATTTAGGTGCAATCTTACTAGCAGCAATATCCTTGCCTGTGAAGCCTTTTTTTGTCCAAAGCAATGATGACGGCACGTGTTTCCTTGCAGGTAACCATGGTTAACAGAGGAAGAACAATGATTTCAAGCACCACCCTCCTTTTAAAGCTTCCAGTCTGTTATTCTAACTCAATCAGCATGACAGACTGATCTCCAGCCTTGTCCTCGTCAACACTCACCTGTGGTCCTCTGTAGCTCAACTGGTAGAGCACGGCGCTTGTAACGCCAAGGTAGTGGGTTCGATCCCCGGGACCACCCATACACAAAAATGTATGCACGCATGACTGTAAGTCGCTTTGGATAAAAGCGTCTGCTAAATGGCATATTATTATTATTATTAACGAGAGAATCACTGACATGATGGCAGCTGGTCCTTTTGTGGCAGGGCTGAAATGCAGTGGAAATGTTTTTGGGGGATTAAGTTCATTTTCATGGAAATGAGGGACTTTGCAATTAATCTGATCACTCTTCATGACATTCTGGAGTATATGCAAATTGCCATCATCAAAACTGAGACAGCAGACTTTGTTAAAATTAGTATTTGTGTCATTCTCAAAACCTTTGACCACGACTGTACACACAATACCCCATAATGACAACGTGAAACCGTGTTTTTAGAAAAACTTCACTATGCTCAAAGGGATATTCAATGTCTGCATTTTATATTTTTATGCATGTACCAATAGGTGCACTTCTTTGCGAGGCATTGGAAAACCTCCCTGGTCTTTGTGGTTGAATCTGTGTTTGAAATTCACTGCTTGACTGAGGGACCTTACAGATAATTGTACACTATCAGTCAAAAGGTTGGACACACCTACTCATTCCAGGGTTTTTCTTTATTTTTTAAACTATTTTTGACATTGTAGAATAATAGTGAAGACATCAAAACTATGAAATAACACATATGGATTCATGTAGTAACCAAAAAGTGTTAAACAAATCAAAATATATTTTATATTTGAGATTCTTCAAAGTAGCCAACCTTTGCCTTGATGACAGCTTTGCACACTCTTGGCATTCTCTCAACCAACTTCACCTGGAATGCTTTTACAACAGTCTTGAAGGAGTTCCCACAAATGCTGAGCACTTGTTGGCTGCTTTTCCTTCACTCTGCAGTCCAACTCATCCCAAACCATCTCAATTGGTTGAGATTGGGTGATTGTGGAGGCCAGGTTATCTGATGCCTACCTCCTCTTTCTGTATTGTTGCTTCATTCCTTCCTCGCTTTCAACAGTTAAATGAAATATGTTTCGGTGTCCTTATCTTCATCATTCTAATGAAATCGTTGAATAATATAGGACTATAATTAGATGCAGAAGGCTTTCATTTCTCTTCACGAAGATTGAATGGTTATGTGTTATAGGAGGGGGTCACAGTTCCGGAGTGACCCACTCACTCACAGTCGGGACTAGTCATCTTCCTATTGGTGTCACCTGTGTCTATCTGATTCACCTGTGTATTTATGCCCTCACTTCCCTGTGTTCCCTTGCTCAGTTTTCTCTGCTAGTTTCACTATGCCAAGCAGTACTAATCAGTGTCTGATCACGGGACATATGGACAGGTACAGTACGTGAGAAGTGTTCTCCCTGTTTATTTATTATTTCAGTCATAGTTAGTATTTCGTATTTTTGGCTATCTTCTTTTTTTTTGGAGTCTTCTTTGCTCCGCCTTTCTTTTTCGTGTAAAGTTCGTTATTTTGTATACTGGCTTCGGGACCATCAGTAAAGTTCCTTGTTTCACCATCTCTGCCTACTGCCTACTGTCTAACCTGCACCGCACCTGGGCCTCACACCAACCCTTACAGTTATGTGTCTGAATAAATAACTACTATAGCCTACCGCCATCGCACGTTCGCTCTTCTTTCAGACCAGTGGCGGTCGGTGCCGTTAAAGATGAGGGAGGATGATGTCATGACTATCAACGAGAATCCAAATAAGTCAGATCAGGTTTGCAATTAATAATTTCAATCAGACCCCCTTTAACCCGTAGAGGAAGAAGGAAAGAACTAGGGGGTTAACAACTCACATCCTGTTGTAAATCAAGGGAGAAGATCCAGGCTCTCC